TTAGTCTACTGTCCATGATGTCGTAGTCTACTCTCTATGATACCTTAGTCTATTGTTCATATTGCTCATAGTTTCTTTGCACAGATCAATGTTTAAATCAACAGAGCTCTTAAACAGTGATCAATCTTTCCATAGCTGCTTATAAAATGTAAAATGTCAGCATTGATAAGTGACACTAAATAGATAAAACTTTAATGGAATAAAAGTGTTAATTGATGTAAGACGCTCTGAAGAAAAGTTGTGCTTTTAAGAGTTCCATAGCTTTCTATAATTAAACATTAAATTTTAAATTCTGGATAGAAACACCACTGAGTTTTCAGGAACATGCTCCTGCTCTGCTCCATTCCAGGCAATTTTAAATATCTGTGGGCATGAAGGATAAATATTTGGTTATTAAATATGTATACAATATTGCAGAGCTTGAGGTGAGAATGAAATTATACAGCTCTGAAGAAGAATAAAATTGACAAGGGTCATCTAATTCACCTGTAGAAAACTTCATCAAGAGACTCACAGAATTATTTTAAAGCTTCCCTGTTTATTAATTTATTTTAAGTAAAGTGTCTCCATAGTTTTTGACCTGGTAAATTTATTTCGCTGGTCATTTAGAATAAAGGCTGGCATTTAAAAGTCACCACTGCATAGAAAGCTAAGTTGGAGATTTACAGGAAAAGAGAGAGATGGTATTGTAGTTACTTGTGGGTGACTATTTCTCCAGTAAAATCTCCTCCAGGGCTCCATGTTAGGGCTCTTTCTCTCCTTGAAGGCGACTACAAAAGCCACGTATATTGGAGTCATTCATTTGGAGTTCAGGTTCCTACAAACAGAGATATCCACATAATTTCTTATTCTTCCTGAGGAACTATCAATAGGAAGAACAAAATCTTATGTGGATATGTGTATTTGTAGGACGTAACAGAAATGAGACTGATGATGTTATTTTAAGAGATTCTGAAAGTGGTGAGGCAGGATAAAGAAGGAGAATATGCTGGAAAAGGAATCTGGTCAACAAATATTTAGGGGAAAGACCAGGATTTTTAGGTTCTTATTGTATAAAAATGCTTTGACAGCCAGCTGTCTCAGATGGAGGGGTGCCCAAGACCATCCACAGGCTTCATGATTTTCTAGAAGACTCACAAGACTCAGAAAACCTTCACACTCACAGCATGGCTGACTGCCAAGAGACACACTGTTTAAAACCAGCAAAGGGAAAGACCAAGAGACATCAGGCAAGGGCTTCCGGGCTCCCCCAGTGGTGCTGCCCGGGACACTCAGGTCTCCCAGCCGGGATGTCTGACAGCACAGGAGAAGTGCTGACGACCAGCGGAGCACCCCCAGCCTGGGATTTACTGGGGTCAGTCACTGGTGCACCTGACACCATCTGGACCCACCTCAGCTGCTCAGCCTACAGCCTCCATCAGCATAAGGACAGCCTCTCACCCAAGTCACAGTGTGGGTCTCAACCTATCTGGCTTCACTGCTGCAGGGAATAGGCGGAGTATCCAGAAGCCAGTCCAGGACCACCCTAAGCTGTATCCAGAAGATAGTCAAAGGCTCATCCTGAGGCTGTATCCAGAAGCCAGTCCAGGGCTCCTCTTGAACACAGGACTTTTCATGAAATTGCATGGCTTGCATAATCCAGGCATGCTGAACTGGTCGTCCTTTCCTGCACTCCACCACATACGTTACTTCACTTAATTTGAAGGAGGAGGAGGAGGAGGAGGAGGAGGAGGAGGA